CTTCTTAGCTTCTCCCTAATGAATGTAATGGAGACAAACTGGCAGAAGGTACAGTGTCTTCCAGTTATTTTGAACAGAGGCAGGTAAAAAGACATTGCAGGGCAAAATACAAGGTTTGGAGCAGATCTACAATCCCTGCAGGTCCTCTACAGCATGTGGCCTTCCCCACATAGCCTTGGAATTTAGCACTGCAGCCTGTTCTTACCCTCTCTTCTTAAATTAATAGGGGAGCTCCCAGTAGGCCTTCCAAGGGCAAATGGATTTCTCTTCTACCTTGGCCTCCACCACATCTTACCTGCCCCCAGGCAAGCTGTTGAAACATGCCTGTTGTTCTGCAGATTATGTGGAGTGGGTCAAAAACAAGCAAGGAAGGAAGGAAGGAAGGGCCCTACTTCTGAAACCCAACATTGCCTTGGAAAAATTCCCTGAGTTCTTGATGATTTCCCAAGTTAAACTGATGGGCTCATCCATATCGCATAGAAGAGATATGCAATCCTGAGCATGAACATCATGAGGGAAAGTCTTCCATTGAGTGAGCAAGATTTGCAAGTATTCTGTCCAAATCCTTGGCATGTCCTGGGCGATGGCCTACCCTTCAGCTCCTTGCAGGAGAGTGGCAGGAATTAAAATAAATGCATGAACTGGAATACTTGGGTCTGTTCCCCGGATCAGAGCTAGCCATAGGTTTCAGTCACCCTCCTTCCCTGGGCAAACACACCTCTGCACCAGTATCTTCACTACCTGTTTGCTCATCTCCTCCCCACATCTGTACACAGAGAAAACAAGCTATTTGGGTATTGCTGCTCTGAAAGTTTGGTCTTTTCACTGCAAATTCACTCAGTAGGGGCAAATATAGAGCGGAAAATAGCAGAGAGGAGGAAACTCTGGGGACCAGCGGTGCTGTTCCCCACAAAATCGTGTCTTTTGGCAGGGACACTATGATGCCCATCCCTAAGTCTGCCCCCAGAGAGGACCACAGCCAAGGGTAACATGTGGTGAAATCTCAGAAGCCAGAAAGGTGACCCTTTACAAAGGAAAGATCACAGGTGAAGACTAGCAAGTTCCTCACCTGGGCGGAGTGAATTATCCCAAATAGGAAAGAGCACGTGAGCATGAGAGAAGAAATTTGCTTAATTTGCATAATTCATACAGGCAGAAAGATTCAACTTTGCTCAGTGAAGAATTTGATTTTTGTGTTACTGTTTATTTTAGTTTTACAAGCCTGTAGATAGATCATAAAAAGACAATCAAGAGAGACCATCTGGCACAAAGAGAAGGGGAAACAGAGAAAAGAGGAGGGGGGAAAGGGCAATTCAAAAACATATTTTCAGTTAGCTGCACCATTAAACTGAAAGCACACTGTAGTGATTACAAAGGTCTGAGAAAAAGATTTTTAAGCATCTCAATAAATGCAGGAAAGTAGGGTGGACCTCCCCTTCATGATGAGTACAGTCTAAGCGTCATCTGTCTAAACAGTGTATCCATTAAAAAAATACCCTTCTTTGCTTTATGTTTCTGCAAATTGGAAACCCAATTGATATGATGTCTCCTTTGCCTTAAACCTATGCCTATCTGTGCATGTTCACTTCCTTTTTTTAAGAGCCATACCTTGATCACCCACAGATGCTCTTTTGGGGTTTGGTTTCAGCGGCAGTGGCTTGCAAGTAGAGTTTTGGTCCCTGAAACAGGATGCCAGAAACCAACAAGGTTTTCTGCAATCAGGGGAATTGTAGAATAATTCTTTAGAACTCCTGTTCCTTATCACAGTGCAACACAGGCAGGAAATAGGACTGATGAGTGGCTTTGTTCTGCCTTCAACAGCAATCTGCTAGGCAAAATTAAGCTGATGGAGCACACCTCTTGCAAATCTCTCCAGCTCAGCTTTACTCCTGAGGAGGGCCTCATCTCTCAATACGCTTTACTGAAAGTCCATCCAGCTACCGCTCCAGGGCATGACACATGTTCAAGGGCACGACCTTAAATGCCACTGAAACTGTTTTCTACCAAAATAGGAGGAAAGTTGCATATGCAAACTATGAAGCACATACTTTACATGGGGTCTTTTCATATGGAGGGCTCCTAGTCCTCATCGGAGGGAAGGCATTGTGCATCTGTTCCCTGTTTTCTTTCCCAGACTCCACATCCCAACCCTGTAACACAATTTCTGCAGTCAGAAAATTCCTTTATCATTTGTAGGATCCAACAGGTGGAAGAAGTGATGTTGCAAGACTTGCTTTTGGCCATGATTCTAATATTATATTGGGCCTGTACAGTTTGAGTTGCTAAATTCTTCCTCATAATAAACTGCAAAGCATATTTTAATGACATTTCTACTCTGGAGTTTCCTTCCATGTATTTAAGCAAATGAACTCTGCAGGGAATAAAATTATTGTTGAACTCTGCAGCGAAGAGCCTCTGTAATGATAATTAAAATAATAACATTTCTCATCCCCCTTGCCTTCTTGTTCAGGAAAGAAAATTAACACAAAATAGAAAAAGTAATATAAAGGTTAGAAAAAACTATTTTCAGCTCCAGAATTTCATATTAAATTAATGAATTGGCCAACATTGGGCCTATGGAAAATTAAGATGGGGTTAATACTATTTGTGTATGTTTGTGACTTTCAGTTGTTTTCCCCAACGTGTTGCCCTTCAGATGTGTTGGACTATAGTTCCTGTGCTAATGGGAGTTGTAGTCCTATAGATCTGGAAGGCACTAGGTTGAGGAAAGAATTATAATTCCACCATGAAATATATTCTTGATTGATGCTAGCCAGCCGTGCCATAGAGAGCTTTGGCTGCAGAGAAATGAAATAAATAAACAAACAAATAATAAAAACAATAAGCTAGCCACATTCTCCCATCCCACTGTTTGCACATCTGCAAAACTAACTTCAGATAGAAAACCCTTTTATGGATAGAGAATACCGGGTTAACCTATCTTTTCCTTTTCTTTTCAAACCTGTGCTTCTCCAACTGATAAGAATTGTTCCTTTGGGGCACTTGCTTTTGTGAAGGACAGTCAAAGTTACTGAAAGAACAGAAAAGTAGTTGGAAGGCTGTCAAAACTGTCCTTTTAGGTACGGATGGTTCAAGTATTAATAGGTTTCTATGTTATTCCTTGGAATAGTGACCCTTGGAGATCAAGCAACTGCAACTGGAAATGGGAGTACTGCCTGGATTCCAGCAACTGCCTGGAAATGGGAGCAATTCCAGCAACTGCCTGGAAATGGGAGCACATCCAAAAAACAAAAACAAGCCAGTGGTTTCTATATGTTCAAGGAACTCCCTAAGTATGAAAAACTTACAGAGATTGTGCAATTAAAAGAAAGGCATTTTTGAAAAGCACCCCAAATAGCACCAGAGGTTCTAGAGTTGCACTCTCGCACGCACAAAAGTTACAAGGCAAAGGACACACAAAGCCCATTTCCGGCTGGGCAAGCTCCAGATGATGTAGCCTATGATTCCCATCATCCTTAGTCAGCATAGCCAACGTTGCAGGATGATAGAACTTGTAGCCTGATAGCATCCAGAGTGCCACACATTGTAAACCCCCATGCAAAGGCCTCGCTTTCTACATACAGTTTACCAAGCCCTCTGACAGAGCTTTTCTTGTGTCGTTAGGCCATCTACTTCCCACAGTTGATGAGGATGCAATGCCTTGTACTGGGCCACAGCCTTGGGAACAAGCCCCACTAAACTATGGAGAAGAGCTAAATAACCTTGGCCCAGAAAGGAAAATATTGTGGGACCTCTTCCAGAGAGAGAGAACGAGAGAGAGCAAGCAAGAGAGCCAGAGAGAGCATCCCTTTATGGTCACCTGAGTAATGAATAACCATTGGTACCCTCTCTGGGGACCAAAACTGTCCTTCCTCACCCTCTTCTGCTGCTGCCCTGTGCTGATAGGATCCTGTGAACTTCCTGATTGACCACATATAGGGAGCAGTCAAGACAAGCTGAGATGAGGAGGAGGGGAGAGAGGGGTCAAGACAAGCTGAGATGAGGAGGAGGGGAGAGAGGGGTGGGCAGTTTAAAGCAGGGCTCAAAAATATGGACTCCTTCACTCTGTGATTTGCTTATGCACTGGGTGTTAAAGCTGCCCTCCTGTCTCAGATTGCCAGAGGCCTTTGGTTGTTGCTGCTTCCATCAAGTCATCTCTGACTTATGGCAGCTCTAGGAATGAAAGCCCTCTAAAATATCCTACATCTCTGCTTAGCTATTCTAAATCCACAGTCAAAAAAGGAGGAGGAGAAGGAGAAGGAGAATGTGGTGGAAGGAGGGATTTCTGTAAAGTTCCACCTTATACTGTGAGGTGCTGTTTCAAGTGAGACGAAAGGGGAAGGCCAATTTTCCCTTTTCCTACTTCCCAGGACTCTCTCCTGGCACTATTTTCACAATAGCACTGCAAAAGGCTTGCAAACCAGAGCCAGGCCTAGAAGCCACTTAAGCCACCCGGAGTTGTTCTGGGAGGTAAGTCATACTGGCAGGAAGTACCAGATCTGCAGGCCTCTAATTCAGCCCTTTGCCATTTCTAGACACTGTTAGGAAAATGGTGAACTAACAAGAGCTAGTGCAGGTGCTCGGTGACCTAACAGGCCAAAGACTGAGTGGCATAAAGGAACTTTGCAACACCGTGCATTGGTTCCTTGCCTACTCTCTACTGACAGCGTGTCTCACCTTCCTTTAAGCTTACCAGAAGAGTTCTAACTTTAAAACAGCAAAAGAACAAAACCGTGTAAAGAATGAAGCCCGTGTGAGCATATTCTAGCTTCTAATGGCCACACTGGCCCACGCTTGTTTGCTAAACAGCGTGTTTATGGAGTGTAATAAAAGACACTGCTGCAAGCTTTTTATAGCTGTTGTTAAGGAACGTACCGAGCTGCTTTGGAAACAATTATAAATGACAAAAGTATTGTCCTGGCTATTCTATGAATAGAACTGTCATCTCTCTGTGGAATATAGGGTGAGGGCAGACGTCAAACAGAAGAGCACTCACAGCAGGTTCTCCTGGCCTCGCAATGGGAGAGACAGGCCAAGCACACCCACAAGCTGAATATTGGTTCAGACCATCAAGGCCTCTTCCTCCACTTCCTTGCATCTGCTCCCTCACTGGAGACCAGACAATCTGTCCCACAAGAAGAGCAGCTGGATCAGCTGAAGCTTGCCCAGCCCAGCATTCTGATGCTGCAGCGGTCAATGAGACATCCAGGTGGAGCCAAGAAACAGGACACGAGAGCTGCTGTTGGGGATCAGCATCAAAGGTAAGCACGGGTGGGCATTTGTCAAGGGAGGATGCTGCAGCAGGGACCCTCTGGCAGGGGCTTGCTGAAATTGCTCCTCGTCTTCACCATTGCAGCCACTTGCTCATGGGCTTCCCACTTGGCCAGAACAATGGAGGTGGTGAATGGGGATACAGGAGATGCCCCCAGCTGCTTGATTCCTGGCTCTCTACCTGCCAAGCAAGCGAGAGGGAACACTTACGAGAACAAGGATGAGGAGCAGTTGTAGCTACAGGCCATGGGGTGAGAAGGTAAGAGGCCTCCAGGGATATCTTGCTAAAGGCACTCAAAGACCAGCCAGCGATGTCTCTGAACCGGGTCCCTACCTGGAAGAAAGCTGTGCTGCTTTTGTCTCAGGAACTTGCATGCAAGGCACCAAGTCCATTATCCATTGTAGGAGAAGGAGGAATTCACCAGGGCACTCACTCCCATGGCGCTATGGGGAAGGGCTGTTGGTTAGCGGTACTGAACATGCCTCAAATGCAGAAGACTCCAGGGTGAATCCATGGCCTCTTCAGACAGTGGTAGGAAAGGTGCTTGCCTGGAACTCTGGAGATGCTGCTAATCAGACAGTACTGAGCTAACAGGCAATACAGAGCTCAAAGGACCAATGATCTGTATATAACTCCTTCTGATGCCCCCCAAAAGCAAAATTAATTAGACAAAATCATTAAAATGTATAATTATACATAATAAGACAAGTAATGTGCCTTGCATAACTTACACTGATTTTAGGGTTTTCCTTATCATGAAGTGTGGTTTTGCTTGGCACCAAATTTGAGTTTTAGAAAGGCACACAGAACAAAAGCCATCCCCTGGTCATTGATCTGGCTCATTACTGCTGTGTATTTATTTTGATTTACCACAATCACAAAGCCTGCTGATGTACTTGGGCTACAAGTACTTACCTGAGATGAAGTTCTATTGAACCCAATGAAATGTTCTACTCATTGCAATGTAATTATATATATTTACATATATACTGTATATATGGGAGTGGGGAGAGAGAGAGAGAGAGAGTTGTTGTTCAGTCTCAAAGTTGTGTCCGACTTTTCATGACCCCATGGACAACTTTCCTCCAGGTATATATAAAAATCTTGCCCAGCATCCTACTCCACCCCATGAGTTGAATCTATGAAGGGTCTTTCTTGAGAAGAAAGGCACCTCTTGAGGTCCTCCCACCAGACTTCTGCAGTTTCCCACACTATCACTCACCCCATTTAGCAAGATATTATGCCCTCTGCTTTATTGTCAAGGGGCTGGGAGGGCTGCTGTGGGGGTGGGGGGAGGAGGAAGCCCATTTCCACATGCTCAGTTGCTCTTGCTTAACTCTGGATCTATGGATGTACGAACCAGTGAAATGCCAGCTCATCCATCCCCTACTTCAGTTCTACCTCAAGTCCCATCATTTTATTTATTTATTTTTTTATTTCAAGCTTTTATACACTGACGAAATAGTCACGTGTCTCTCTGGACAGTTTACAGCAATTAAAAGACAATAAAACAAAACATAAAAATCCATAAGCCTCATCAACAAATTCAATAAATAAAGCCATCCGATTGCAAACCCCTTTTTCACATGAAAATCTGTGCATGTTTCCCCAGTGCATGCACTGGTGGTGTTTACTTCTGAAGCCTACAGTTTCTTCTCCTGCCTTTGTGCACACATTTATGTGCATTTTTCAAATGGACACAGGTTGTTGCTTATATTTTCGAGTCCACAAATGCCATCGTAAGCTGAGAAATGTAGAGACTTTGGCCACGGATTGTGTTTGTGTCTGTCTTCAATCTGGAAGTTATCAACCAGGTAAAACCTGATCAAAAATGAAGAGAAGCAAACGTCTCATAAAGCTCTATCTGGATCTATTTGGATAGACATCCTTACCTTCCTATAGGGACTGTCTCGCACGCAGCCTGATGGCATCCATGCTATTCTTTTTTCCCACCGCCTTTTCTTCCTCTTGCAAGGATCTTAAGGCAGCTTCACGGTTCTCCACTTTGATCCTCCCAACAGAACCCAGTGAGGATGAGCTTTAGGTTGCGAGCCCGTGACCGGCCTGAAGTCCCCCAAGGCTAAGTGGGGCTAGAACCCAATCTCCCTTGTCACTGGTCCAACACTCTAACCACTGCCCCGCCGTGGCTTTAGATAAGGCCTCCTGTTTCATCGGACCTAAGAGCTGCTACCTCTTCCTTAATTCAAAGACCACCTTCTTATTTATGATCTTTCTCCGTATGTATTTTTGCCATCACTGCAAAAAGCAGCTTAATTTCAGGTTTTGCAAGGACAATGTATCCTAATAAAGCACTGTTAATGTTCTGACACACACACTGTGTCACTTTTAACAAATGTTCTCACAACATGGACCTTATTTTGGAGTGTGTGAACTGAGAACCCTGATGAGGGTAAGTCAAAAGCAGGCGCTCATAGAGCGGGGCAGCAAACTTCCAAATTAAGGCACTCTCTTTTCTACATCAGTCCATATTTCAAGTGGGTCTCCCCCACCCCCTTTGCTCAATTCACTGCCATTTTTTAAAGTGTGGCACTTGATTTGCATAGTAATTACAACATTTAACAAATAGCTTTAATGTGTATAAGGAATGTATACTCCATTTAAATTACTGTCAGCATTTTCATTACACATTTTTGAAATGCAACTGGGGGGAGAGAAAAAAATCTATTCCACCCTAATGTACGATACGTATTCTTGAAGCTTAGCAACCTTGGTGTTTCTGGAAAGTAGGAAACACTTTTCTAACTTCATTGTAAAAATGCTGCTCTTTGGGGACATCCAAAACCCTGTTCATAAATACTGATTAGCCACTATTTAACCACAGGGCTCAATACAACAAGCACAGTTCCCAAACTGGGGCCAAATTGGAAATGTTAGTGTCTTAAATCAGACCAAATAATTCTATACATGAAAGATCATCCTGAATAAATGGATGCTAACTAGGGATTCAGCTGCCATTATGTTTTTTTTTTTTTAACTTTTTTCATTTATAAATGTTGGAAGAAAAGACATTTACAAAAGCAAAACAAAAACGGGATGGAAATCTCATCATAGCAAATTTTAAAAAAGGATGAAACTTCTGACAAACAACTAGATTGCCTGGAGATAAGCAAAGTAATCGGTAGGAAATGGAGTTCCATCTTTCATTTTCTTCCTTATTTAAAGCAGCAATACACAGGTTGGATTTTAGGTTATCTGAATCAGCAGAATGCTATAAAATGCATAATTCACAGCCCAGTCATTTTAAAATTACCTATGTTCAGGGAATCCACTTCACATCATGTGGTCTGTGGAACCCCGGCAGGTCTAGAAGAGAATTTCTGCATACTCCTGGGAATTCTGGGATGTATTCTAAGATGCACACTCAGTTCAAATGCCCATTGGTCAAGGCATATTAAGAACACATCTTAAATTATACCCAAGCTTCTCCCTGCAACCTCCACACATTTGACAACATATGATGAGGTTTCTCATTGTTAGTTGTTTTACTGGATCCTGATATTTTGTTGTTAATTGTTTTAAATAACTCCAAATAGTTTCAGATGTTTGCATCTTTTGATGTTTAACCCTGCTGTATTTTAAGGCTTTGGCTTTGACTATTGGCCAGCATAGAAGAGCAATGAATGAATTATTAAATGGCCGTGCATTGCTGGGAGGAGCTAGGATGAAGCATGGTTTCCTGTGGAGTACGGCTGCCATTGCTAATTTTCTTCCTGAGGAAGCCCCCAAGGATCCTCAGGGTTCCTAGGAGCACAGGGGCTGGGTCTGCATGACAAGCTTAGATGTGGTGCAGCTATGATGACTTATCATGTTGCTGTACCTCAGTGTGCTTCCAGGTGGTTTGAAGCTACCCCAAGAAGCCATAGCTTGTTTTAGGGTTTCCATAAACCTCCATGGCTTAGCATGATGTCCGTGATGCAACGGGCCATAGGCAAGCCAGAAACCTAGAGAGCCGCTTAGTGAGAGGGCCAGGAAGCTTGTTGATGCAGCCACATGGCTAGCAGATGACTGTCACTACCACCAAAGTACCTGAGCATCACTTGGGGGACAGCAGACAAAGACAGCGCTCCCTCTGTGCAGCCAGGACAAACCATTTCTGCCTTGCCATTTGATTTCTAGAGCATTTTTGGAGCTTTACTTGGTATATATAAAATGTGACTACCTCCATATGCACAGGGATTTCCCCTCAATGTTGCCGCCACCCCCCCCCCCATATTCCGCTCCAGGCATCCTGCTTGGAAGGAAGGAATTGAGAGTGTAGCCCCCAAAACATCTATTTTCTCTGGATCTTTGCTTTTTTAGAGGATGGGGGCTTGTGCCTCTGAATTATCCACAATTAAATGAGCAAGGGCAACCCAGGCCCGCATGTTCACACAAAGCAAAATGCAGCTCCACGTGGAAAAGTGGTAGAATCACCTTTAAAAACAAACAAACAAGGTGATCTTGGCAGGGTAAGACTGACAGATCCATCAATCCGTATGTGGGATCTCAAGCCTACAACTCATTTGGTCTCATTTTAAGACCAGAACCTTTTCTTTGTTCTCACAATGTGCAGTGTGCATTGTGTCTGCCCACTATTTTTGCACCAAAGCAACTCTACTCTCTTGAAATAGATATTTATATCACCTCTCCCAAACCTCTTGTTTGTTTGTTTGTTTAGTCGCACAATCATGCCCGACCCATGACGACCCCATGGACAACATTCCTCCAGGCTCTCCTGTCCTCCACCATCCCTCGGAGTCCACCCAAGCTCACATCCACTGCCCCAGTGACTCCAAGCTCCCTCCACATCCAAGCTCACATCCACTGCCCCAGTGACTCCAAAGAACAACCTGCTAGCCCCATCTTGGACCTGTCTGCATTGAGCCGCAGTAGGCCTTCCTTCAATTCATGGGAGCTGCACCTGCAGACAGATCTGTTTCTCCCTGATCTTTTGACATTGAAGGCTACTTACTGCTACCATTTTAGCCTTAAGCTCATCACACACACCATTCCTGGAAACAGAAAGTACATGTGGGAAAACATTAGGATCCTTTCATTGAAACAGTTCGGCAGCTGACCAGCAGAACCAGTCACAGTCCAAGGAGACAGTCAGAAACATTTGCTTTAGAAATCCAAGTGTGGTCTCTGAAAACAGATATCGCATGCACTATGGCGTAATTTGAGTACAGTGTAGGATCCCTCTCATATCACTTTCCCCTTCTAGTATTTACTTCTCATAGTGCTTTGTGAGACAGTAA